GTCCGGCTCCTCCGCGCGCCGCTCCGCCATGGGCGCCGCCGCCGCCGCTCACTGCCCGCCCATGGCGCCAGCTTCTCCCAGACCCCGCACCGCGCATGCGTGTCCCTGGGGGGCGGGGCCAGGGCTCCGTGCCAGCGCTCACCTGAATTAAAGGGCCAGCGACGCTGGAAGGCGGCACCGCTGGGGGCAGCTCACCACTCTGCCCTGTTCCTGTTCCGGCTGCTGGGCGCCGAGCCTTTATCCCGCACTTCATCCTATCGCATTATATTATATTATTTCATCCCTTAATATGTCATATAATATCTTATCTTATTTTATCATAGAAGTTAAGGGCTGGAATATTCTATTCTATTATGAGGCCATATGCTGTATTCTATATTATTATGACCCATTCATCAGAGCATCTGACCCAGCAGTCTCTAAAGTGCCATTCCACCCCATTTAAAGCTAGAAAACACCTTTCCTTAGCTGTCAGTGTGCAAAGCGAGCTGTTGCCTAGCGGGTTTATTTGTGGCCGGTGTTTCTGCTCCAGCAATCTGTTGCCAGGAGACTCCCAAGTCGCTGAAGGCCGATCTCCAGCCTTGCTTATGATTTTCTTACTGGAAGCATCAAATAATTTCCTGCAGCGGCCACGCTTTGTGAGGCCTGTGCCTGCGCTTCACACAGGATTCGCTTTTGGTTGCAAAGTTGTCCCCTGGAATTTGTTCTTTTACGATAACAGATCAAGTTTTGAGATCGTGGCTGAAAGGAAACTTGTTGAAAAGAGTGTAACTGACGTTGGGATCAGCTGATGTCTGTCTGGGGATAGTGTGAAACAATAGAAGAGGTGTGACCTACTCTGTTCCCTCCATGCATTATTAACTCTGAAACTGAAATAGGATTCAGTTACAAACACTTAACTGTGTCGCGGCTAATCAGAACAGATCCTGCTCACAGAAACATCCTGCTAATTTGCTTTCTTCCAGAATCCCACACTAGCCTCTCTTTCACGGTAACAGTTACCAGTCCCCAGCATCTCCAGTTTCTCTCCCTCCCAACAATTTCTCCAGTGTACTGGCCATCCAAACCTCTTGTTTCCATGTGAAAGTAGAAACACTTCACTAGGTATGCGTGTTGTTTTGGGTTGCTATAATCACATTTTGAAAGTTGCCTTTTATTATCTAGACAAGAGGTTATCGTTGGTTGTATCCCTGTATAAGCCCTGAGAAGCCTGCAGTCTTGCCTTGTTGAGGGATCCTTTCATCAGTGCAGTACCCAGTACTTCAGTGAAATACACCTGCACAAAGCAGTTATATTTCAGGATCAAGAATCACAAAGTAAAATTCAAGTGGGAGCAATATCAATCACTGTACAACTTGGTGGTGTACTCAACATACCACTTGAAAAACTGAGGTTCCTTTGTTCAGCGATGGATACAAGTAACAGTCAGACAAATACCTAACTGGTCTTTGTTTTATCTCATCTTAACTGCTAGCATTGGACTTTGGAGCCAAGTTGTGTATGATTTGCTTATATAATTATTAATATCAGAACCATGTGATAAAATCTTATTTGCATTTTTTAAATTTATTTTTGTTGAATTTGAGCATATTTGGCAAAATGTATCCCTAGTATAAACCCAAATTAATTAACTTCTTATGCTTGGTAATTTTTTATGTGAAGAGGGGAAATACAGGGCTTGATTTTCCAGTCTTGCATGTCATAGTCTTTCATCTTTGTGCAAACTGGGTGTAAAAAGTTACCAAACCAGAATGGGAGAATGTTACACTTGCTCTGCAAAATGGATCATCAGGCCCAGTGCATCTCCACACAGGTATATTAGTTATATGTTATGGTGTTTAGGCTATTTCAGTATGCAGCTACTGAGCAGGGCAAGTGTAAAATTATTTTCTTTCAGTAAAGGAACCAACTGAAAACTCTTCCTATCTCCTTTTCCTTCTTCAGAAATGTATTACTCTATATGGGAAGTATTAACACAGTTTTGATCCCTGTGTTATGGAAATTCTGTGATTTTTTTTTTCACACACCCATAATCTGAACAGCTTCTCTCATTGCTCATTCATGGATTTAGTGTAGGGCTCAAAATATTAGTTAGCAAAGGCCCATAGTTAAAAGTAATCTTTTATTAAATATCATTTACAAACTGTCATATTTAATTATCTCAAATTTCTGGATTAACCATTAAGTACTAATTATTAGTTTAAATAAGTGCTGAAATGTCTAGATTACTTCTTTTCGTTGATATATTCCATCATTTTTTCTTCTATTTGAACATCGAAACTAATCCATCTAACTATCTCTCTGTCTAGATAGTTATAATTTACATTTTACAGTTTGGAAACATAGGGACATAGAGGGAAAATTCCAAAGAGGATATGTAGAAGTAGATTTTCATGGTTGCTTTATTAAATTGTGTGGGGTTTGGGTTTTTTTTTGCTTTAGCTGGGCGCCCTCTGGTGGTACTTTCAAATAAGGAATAAAACAAAGATATTCCTTAAAGTGATACTAGTCCAGTAGATTGCAATGGGTGAATTTTAAAACAAAAAGTTTTTATTTCTAAGATGAGGGTGAGGGAATTAATTTAAAACATAGCTCTTCTATGTTTGAATAAGCTAAATAACCTTATCAGTTAAACTATGAACAGAAAGACAAATAGGTATGGCATTACTTCATCAAGAAGTCTCACAGATCCTTAATCAAGCTGATTACAGCTACAGTTTATTAGTTAGAAAAGTCACTATGTACCTTTCCACTGTTATTTAACTTGCTAAAGATAGAACTGTAATGTGAAAGAAAACTTCAAAAGTAACACTTCAAAACTAAGTTGCTAGAGAACAGGTATATTTCTTCAAATATAAATATTCTAATTACAAAATTTGAAATCTAGCCAGAATGTTGTTTAAAAAAATATCATTCCTTTATTTCTGCTATAAAGAAATAGCCTCGCTGGTATTTTGTGGTGAGACCAGTGGTGGCCTGTACACTCTCTCAGAGAAGAAATAATGAATGCAACTGGTTTTCCAGAATGACAAACAGCTTGCCTACAACTCTTCCATAATAGCTATGCCACCATCTGTTGCATAGGCAAACAGAAGGAGTTTATCTACCCATGCAGGATCTCCACCTGCTGTTCCAATACAAGCAAAGCAGACTAAAGCATACTTCTGTCCATAGAGAAGTGTCTTTATCCAGGGATTGGTATAGCATGCCACCACTCAGGTCAGACCTGACCAAAGGCTTGTTGAATAAGACGACTCAGATTTTGTATTTTCTTTCCTATGAACAGTCAAATAAGCAGATAAATTTGTTCAACTAAATGGGGAGAAAAAGTTCACATTTGTGTATGATTTATGAGAAGCTTTAAAGAGCAAAGATATGTGACGAGGATGTGACAGATAGAACCAAGAGAGGTAGTTAGCTGTGTTACTTAAATCAAGCAGTTATAGATTAACTAATAACCATATACAAGATAAGCTTTTGTGAATTCAAACTTATTTCATCAGTTGCTGTGAAAGGACAAGCATAGAGCATTAAGATAAAACAAAGAAAAGTTAAGTCGTTTTTGATAGTGGCTGTGCTGAATGATGGCAAGTGGAGACATCAAAATGGACATCAGTCCATTCACTCAGTTCAATAACTACTTTATATGTAATGCACCCCCTCACATAGCAATTTCCCGAGCTTCTCCACCTCAGCAATGTCCTGCTATCGAAGTAATTGTATGAATGAAATTAATAAATATGTGACTATACATCTGTATACAAACAAAATACAAGGTATTACTGTGATATGAAAATAATTAATATATCATATTCTATACCTAATAAAAATAACTCTTAATCTATATCATTCTTTCTCCTTCAAGAAGGAACCCAGTATTTTGAAATCTGACAGCCATATACACAGAATATAATGTTCTGTCTTGCAGAGAAATGTTGAAATGTTCTAAGTTTTCATAGCATGCTGTCTTCTAATACTTTTTTTTTATGTTAGTTTTATCAAACACAGTCTGCCATAAGGGTCTAATATTTATATAGGACCTAAAAATAACTTGGTCAAGAAACAAACACATTCAGCTGAAGTAGTGAACTGCACATATAAATACCAAAGCAGTGTTCTTAACAAAGAGTTGACAGGTGCTACAGAACTTAAACTCATTTAATACAAAATAATGTGCTGCTGATTTTATACAACAAACATTTGAAATAAAAAAATGTTAATCCTGTCTAGTCTAAATATCAAACTATGTAGTGTTTAATAAAAAAAATATTGAAGCAACTAAAAAATGTATTCTGTACAGCAGAGGTTCTCCACTTTTTTAGACTCAAGACGTTCCTCAGAAAATGCCAGCTTCTAGCTTTTACTCGTCCTTTTGACTCTTGACAAATAATAGAGCAAGTCTTCAGTTGAAAAGAACTCAGACAGACCCTAACAGGTCAGAAGTTTTTTTGACACTGTGGATTTCTATTGAAAATCTCTGGGTTTATTTTGTGAATCGTGTAGCTGTCTTAAGGGCGCTAATCCTGAGTGGCACTGCACAGCACCTGAAAAAGGTGTCATGGCACCCCAGGGTGCTGCAGAATTCTGATCTGAGAATCATGGTGTACACCCCCCATGGGCCTGATCCTGCGCATATTAACACACATGCTTAATTTGGGGCACATATGCAGCTACCTTTGCTTACATAAACTATCAAGGCAAGTATATGGTGGATAGAGGCCTATGTATGCTTCACATCTAAGGCAAGAGTGCTCGGTGGGCCAGATCCAGCCCTTGTCATGCAGCCCCCCTCAGGGTCCCAGTGGGTCTGAAAATTTGGCAGCAGCGGAGTGGCAGTGGCACTGTTTCCCTGCTGTCGCATTTCCAGACCCCTGGAGAGTCCCATGAAGTGGACAGTGTGGCCCTGCCTGCTGTACCAGACACGTTGGAGTGGGCAGGGGACACGTGGGGCCCAATTTGTTTCTCAGAGCCGGGCAGACAAAGCCTTGCTCGGACCCCAGGTGAGGACCGCACTGCTCTGGGCAGGGGCTGAATTAGATGTGACCTCCTGATGCCCCCTCCAGCCTCACCCTCTGATTCTGTATGGGAGCAGCACTTGCCTCGTGCAACACGCCTGAGGGGCCCTAGGACCCAAAGCAACTTGCGGACCAATCCCCGCGCTCCAAGGCCTGGCAACCCCGCCTACGGCCGCCAACCCAGACCGCGAAGCGAGGCCCCCTGGGGGATTCGGGCAGGCTAGCGGCCTGCGCATGC